TTCGTTTGATTCTCTGCGGTTTCGGCGAGGAGAAGACGCGCGCCGTGGCCTGCCGGGATCCCGTATGTCGTCTTGTTGCTTGGGCCGCTTCAGGGATCCATCTTCGGTCGCATCAGCAAGCGAGGCTTTGCGCTTACGCTGTACCTGATCGGCAGGTTCTGCCTCTGGCATGTGTGAATCGGAGGCCATGGCCCTAAATGGCGACGTACGCAAGATTGGTTAGCAGCTGAAATGATGCTTTCCGGGGATAATATATTGTTGTGAGCATACTCTTTGGCCGTGGCGATTGTTTGGAGTCGATGGCGCAGTCCCGCGAAACGATGAGGCCGGGTCGATAATATTGCGCCAGAGGATGAAGCTATCCCGACAGGTATGAAATCGCAAAAACCCCCAGAAACCTAAGGCCTACATTTGCCAATGATGGTTTGGGAGGAAATCTCGCTTAGGCGACTCGGATCTCGGAGGGTTGCAGGTTAGACATAGGCATCAAACACATGGATGCAACGGTGCTCTCGTCCTGCTTGAGATGCTACCACATCTGCATGCCTGTGTCTGCCGGAGCTCCCTCCAGCGAGTAGATACTTACGTAGGACGCCTATAGATGGCGGGAGCTGTTGGTTGGACCCGATAAGCGGTTCGCGCACTGTAGCACGCCCCACTTCCCACCCAACGAATAACGACGGCCCAGTAACCAATTTAGAAGATGATGGGTCATTAAATATCGAATGACCGTGATTTTGGGCACAAGTAATGGAATCGCGCAAGATTAGTAGAAAATGTATCATATCATATAGGCGCAGAATAAATAGTACGAGTCACAGTAACGGGGTTGGTGTTGAGTGGCTGATTGGTCCAACAGATACAGGGTAGGTGGGTGGCCAGAAGAAAATGGCTGTGCCTAGAATCATGGAGCAAACACCAGAGCTGGCTGAGATAATCATCGCCATCTTTTCTTCAGAGCTCCAACGAACCTCCAACAGAAGCTCTCCCCAGAACCATTCCTCACTCCTACCTGGCCATAAACCTCAAATTCATATTCTACGCCGATCCGCGATTAATCAATAGCCCATCATGTCGCGTCATCATCCGTAAGTCCCCAGAGAATCCCCTTCCAGATAGCCCACCTCTCCCAGCCAGAAAACTAACCTGCTCTGCTTCCCCCGCCCTCTAGCGATCTCGTCATGTGTCGCAAACAGCCCGGGATCGCCATCGGCCGTCTCTGCGACAAGTGTGACGGAAAGTGCCCCGTCTGCGACTCCTACGTCCGCCCGACCACCCTCGTCCGCATCTGCGACGAGTGCAGCTTCGGCAACTACCAGAACAAGTGCGTCGTCTGCGGCGGCGAGGGCATCTCCGACGCCTTTTACTGCTTCGAGTGTACCCGCCTCGAGAAGGACCGCGACGGCTGCCCCAAGATTATAAATCTGGGCAGCTCAAGGACAGATGTGAGTTTCTGCCCCGTCTTCTCCCTCACGCCTCACGTGCTACCCCCCCTGGCCAAGCTGCCTCCTGTCTTCCTTTTGATACTCCTCAAGTTTTAGATACTAACCATGGGTTTTCTTCGCAAATAGTTATTCTACCAAAAGAAAACGAATCGGACGCAAAATTATTAACCCTCGAGCGGCCCGGGTTGGGCTTTCTTGGAAAGATTTCAAACTTATCGTTTTTCGTTTTTAATGTTGGAAAATTTGGCATTGGTTGGCGTTAGATGGACCGAGCTTACTTACTCTCGCATCATGAGCATGGGACTTGTTGTTTACTACTAAATGGAAGCTTCCAAATACAAGAGCATAAGCCTACCTTGTGTGAAAGTGCCAGCGTGAAGATGTCAATGAGAAGAATGAGCTGCTTGACTGACTGAACAATGACAAATACACATACAGACGAGGAAAGGAACTATCGCTTTACTGTACTATTTGGATTGTTCTACAGAACACCAATTAACATATCTGTAGAGTTACATATACACTCTGAAGTCGTGATCACAATACCCAAAACCGTCCCCAAACGAAATCCCAAGGATGTAAAAGACAAAACGCCAACCGATGCAACAAAATAAAAACTACACATACAATTTTGCAAATCAGATATAACTCACTCTCGTCCCCATCCCTGCAGTGGCCTTTAGCTTTCCCCAGAAAGTGCTCAAAGCACGTTGAACGCGAAGCCTGGTGTTCTTGTTCCCCAGTAGAATAATGAATCCCATCATGAACACCAAAAGTCTCATTAAGAGCATGGGGTTGCTGTTTAGTGAGATGGTGAGCTGCTCCATGATGGCACGAAGTCGAGACAAAACCATGGATGCCCTCGCCGTGATAGTAGGAGGAGCCACCGCCTTTCGGTTCGTCCTTGAATTTGCTGGTGGCAAGCGCGGGGAACGGACAGCATCCGGAATCTTCCTAGTCTGCCTTCCCTTGACTGACCCCGATATGCTTGGTGTATCTTCAACACCAAAGTCGAGTTCGCTTGCTTCCTCTTCAGCCTCTCTGTTCGAGCGCTCCTCCTCCAGTCGTTTTCTTTCTCGCTCCTCATTTTCCGCTCTCAGCCTCTTAGCTTCTTCGAGCTCCTGTTTTAGTTGGGCTTCTTGCCTCTCGTGCTCCTCTTGCTCCAGCCTCTCTTGCTCGTGCTGCTCGTCTTGGAGGCTTTGCAGAGCTTGAAGAAACGCTTCTCTCCGCTCTTCATCGAGGACTGGGCTCATAGCGATAAATTCTCGAGCATATTCCCAGTCATTGTTCCGAGGAAGAATATGAAGTGTGTAGAGCTCCAAGAGCTTAACTCGCGCGTTGAGATCTCTTGGTGTGTTGGCGCCGCTGGCCCCCTTGGCAGGAGATCGGTACCGAGATCCTGGAGAAGGAGGCTGGCCAAACCGGCCATTGAGATCCAGGTTCGGCGCTGCAGATGTTGCTAGGTATGCCTCGAGTCTCTTCTGGTTGAGAGTTTGGTCCCGGCCGTGCGTGAGCAAGATTGTAGCCCTGTCCCCATTCGTTTAGCCAACCGCGTGCTGCAAAATGAAGAATCACTGTACAAGAACTTACAAATTAATGACAACATCGGCATCGACATCACCTTCCACGCCGTGGTATCCATTCCGCACCACTTCCTCCCAGATCTCTCCATCCCGTATCTTGGAGCATAGAGCTCTCCACTCTGTCTGGCCGAAGGAGTCCTTGCCCTCGTCAGGCTCAAGCTCAACTATCGCGTTGAGAATAGTGAGATATAAGCTCCAGACCTTGATACGCGTGGTCCTAGAGGCCCGCGCAACTGGTACAGGTTCTCCATTCTCTTCCGGTTCCGGAGGTGAAATGAGCGGGAGCAGAGTCGTGAGCGCTTCGGGTAGGCGACGCGTGAGGAATAGCGTCGATGATTGGCGGTAGGTCTTGGATATATGAGAAGACTGTTTGGCAGAGCTCGGCGAGGAGAGCGAGGCGATGGAGGAAGCTAAAACGTGTTGCGGAAACCGTTCCGAGGTTGGGGCAGTTGCTGCTGCCGAGCTCAGCACTGAAAAGGAGCCGTTCGTAGCCATGGCAGAGATTGGGATAGAAGAGAGCTGATGACGGTCTGTCAGGTAGCCCTAGGCATGCGTATGGTCAATGGGGTGAGGTTCCGCTCGAGATAGGAGTAGGAAGCCAAAGGAAGTGAGGATGGAGTCGACAAAGGAAAACAGGGCTCCAGAATATCCGGGGTAAAGTGGGTGAGGTGACACGGGCAATTGCGCCTCAGGAAGTGGGAAAGAAGAAGGAGAGGAGCATGGGTGGTCAAATAGACGGAGTGGCAGGTGGTAATTTAGAGCCGTGTGGTCACAAGCGAATCCGCGACATGGCTGTTAGTGAGCATGCCGATGGGGAGAATTGCAATGGAGGTCGGGCTGAGGATCACAGGCGTGTGAGAGGTAGCGTGTAGGTGATGCGCGCGACAGTTCAGCGGTCTGGTGGTCTTCAGCTGGGGGCCTTGTCGCTGGGTTCATTTTCTAGTGGGCCGAGCAGGTTGGATTTAGCCTCGGCACCGTCGACATCCACTGTCCAGCTTCATGGAGCCGGGATCGAGTGTTGCTGGTGGTGTGGCGGGGAGCGAGGCTCCACTAACATCACTGTGAGAGCAGGAAGTATTACCGTCCACAGCTTGGGACACCTACAGCATGCTTTCTTTTTTGCAGCACCCAATCACTCCGATTCACTCCGTGCATGATAACGAATCAAACCAGCTGGCTTTGCATGCTTGGCTGAGCAAGTAATATCCCGCCTGTATTCTACTATGTACGATTTGGATGTCTGAAGTGAGCCAAGGCTTGTCCCTGTCACACTTACGAAGATCGGATGCTCAGGCACGGACTCACGTGAAAAGACACCCGGACCCCTTTACTCGGAGTAGGTAAATAAAAACAATTACCGGTATGCGTCGTCCAACTAGCGACCTACCAAAGGAGGCATAATACCGACTCGCCCCATCCATCCTTGTCCTCCGAGGTTCATGACAACACTAGAGAGTAGGCAAATAGCTCATCATCACCAACCATCGTTATTGTGGCATCGCCAACCAGGCTCATCTTGAAAGTGCCATTGCCCACAGACAACCTGTCAGGCATAAAGAAGCAGGGTAGCCTCGTACTTTGCTTGGTCCATGCTTAGGCCACAGGTACTATTTTAATTGTAGTAATTCGCATGAATGTGTGATTGAGACGCCGATCCGGAGATGAAGACCCTCTTATTACCTACTGCGTAGTCCCAATGACTGTGCCATAGACATGTCATCCAACCTCAAGTATACTCTCAAAGCTGTAAATCTCAGGTTCTAATCTATGATCCTAATATGACAGTATCGCTAACAATTCTAAAATCCAATGCTGATGTGTGTACAACAATCCCGGGGTATTCACCATAAAGAAGCGTGATGCTTTCAATGACGCCAAACCTAAATCTATCCCAAATCAAATAAGTCTTCTCCCAGCAATAAATGGCCCCGAAGCACAACTCCATGTGAGTAGGTCATCCCATATGCCTCCATCACCGTTTCCTGCGGGGAGACCTTCTCACTGAGGCATCGTCGACATCATCCTCTGCCTTGGATATGATGATGCTATCCTCTTTTTCCAAAATCGAATGTCCCAACTCCATCAGCTGGTCTTCTCTCACCCACCCAGCTTCAACCGCAAAGCCGACAATGTCTTCTGCGCTCCCAAAACAGGGGACATTGGATTTCGCCTCGGGGTTCAAATATCCCCACATCTCTCCAGTAAGCTTCTTAAAGTCTTTCAGTTCTTTCTTGCTTCCTGCAAAATTATTGACGAGATACTCATAAAGGTATGCAAGCCAGAGAACGTTGGTGTAGGGTGCATATGCATCCCATGAAATTGGCCCATCGATCCCTCCTGCGTAGGCGCTGTCGTGCTTCTCGGGGGGATGCATATGCGATCAGCTCGTAGAAGAAACGAGCGCATTTGCCGGTATACCTTGCATTGCGGTGCATGAGTGCTCGTAAAGAGGCTGAGATCCTTTTCCAGGTCATAGGCGACTGGCTTGGCGTAGTCGATGCTGAGGTCTTCAGCCCTGGACAGGCCATAATCCAGTATTGTGATCTCAAGTCCTGAGTATCCAAAGTACCCCGATGAGTCCGGATGCCTCTTGCGGGGAGATGACACCTGCTTGAGGCATAAGTTGCCTTCATGGAGGTCACGATGCTCAAACATGGCCACATCCTCGGCTCGGGCCAGCGCAATGGCTTGGAGAAAAAACACATCCCATAGTTGATCCATGCTTGTAAGCTCCCAGTCTTCCAAAGCCTTACCCGCATCACCAAGTTCGACGACAAGGAATTTCGTATCTGGAAGATATCTGGTGGGGGAAGGATAAAATTGTGCTCGGCCGGGATCCTGTTTCTTCAGTTTCTTTTGGAACGCCTGATGGGTTTCAATCAACTGCCGGGGTGCTTTCCCTTGCACTATATAGCGTTCCTTGTAAACGACGAAGCCAGGTATGTCGGCCAGCCACTCTGATATTTGGAGTTCTCCCTCAACGTCTTCTCCCGAGCGTGGTTCTTCATCGACCAGCCCGGACCGGACCTGTGCTTTTGTCTGCGCCTTGAGAGGCGAATCGAGCCGCATGACTTTGATAATGCTCGTGCCTCTCTCATTGCTGACACGGTATACCTCGGCGAAAGATGCCTCCGCAATTTTGGTGATTTGATCTCCCGGAGGACAAATATCCTCCCAGCTTAACATTCGTAACGAAACATCGCCGGCATCCCCTTCATCCAATCCAGGCTCCTCGACATGGCTCTGGTGGTGATCCTCTACCACAAATTGTTGATAGTCCTCTGGTTCTCGCCGAAGAGTTCCGGTTGCAGCCACTTCCTGGATGCTCTCTTGCGGGCAAGCGTCTGAAACTGGCGGGTCCTCGGGTTTGAGATGTTCATTGTCCTCCTCTTTCTCCTCAAAAACCTCTGCAGGAACACAAGATGATGTCTGTTCGGCCGAGATTTTTATGACAGAAAGGTTCTCAGTCAACTCATCCACGGCTTTGTCATCAACCTGCACTTCAGGCTTCCTCCTCAAGGGGCTCTGGGGAAGCTCTGCAAATAGTCGCTCCGCCTTGGACCTGGCTGTCCTCTTTCCATACCTGCGCGAAGATGTTGTGCCTGCCATGGTGTCCCATCATACATGTGCGATTGGTCGATGTTGCGAATTTCTCTTCGACTGATTGCAGTGGTGAACTTCGAGCTCAAGGTATGTCGGTCGCAGTCAACGAATGGTTGGCAGGGCAACAGTGACTGGTCCTCGCTGACTAACCGTACTTAATCTGTGCTGCAGGCGAGAACGTCGAGTCCAAGCGAGCCCCAGATAACGCCTGTGGCTAGTCAGTTGGATGGCGTGGAATTGGCCACTCACGATTGGAGAAGGCCCCCCACACGGGGCGGATAGGCTCCAGGTCCATGTACGTGCTCATTTAGTAGGTAGACCAACATCTGGCGACATCGAAGCTTCCACCCTAATTTTCTCCTCACCCGCGTGTCATTGCATTTGCGCCGACACTTTCCCCTCCTCCTCCTCCTCCCCCCCTTCCTTTTTCTTTTTCTTTTTCTTCTTCTCTCCTTTCCCTCGGCCATTTCCATCAACTCGTTGGGTGGAACCAACATTCTCCAGTCATGGCTGATTTCCTGAAGAACGTATTTGGTGGCGGCGAGGCCCAGAAGCCTGTCGCGATCAAGCCCGACTCCGGTAATCTCTCACACGACAATCTGTCGCAACCCGGATCTAACCTTACCACTAACGCGCAACATAGACTTTGCTGATTTCGCTGGAGCTCCTGATCCCACCCCTGAAGCTGCTCCTGTTATTGGCACTGATGGTTCAGCCCCTGCCACGTCGACCCAGGTCCCTTACACCAAGTGGTACAATGTCCACGAGCGCCACTCGCTTTCCGAATTCAAGAGCGAGGGTATCATCCTCGTCATTGGCTTGGTCATCGTCGTCCTGCACATCATCGGTGCCCGCGCGAATCGTTCCAAAGCTCGAGCATGGATCCGCGCCCACGCTCCTCTTCTCAAGAGCGAGTATGCCCTCGTCGGCTTCAGTGGTGTTCCCAACATGAACAAGGACGACGAAAACATCAATAGCCTTATCAAGGAGAAGTCGCTCACCGAGTTTGTCTCCTACGCTACCGGCAGGCAAAACACAGCTTTCACGGATATCAAGATCAACCTCACTAAGAAGTACAACCCCATTGTCAATACCATTGAGCATCTTTCTGCTTTTGTTATGGAGTCTGCCTTTGAAACCCCCGAGGATTCCCTCGAGGCCGTCATCTACCCATTCGATGGCAAGGAGAACGAGACTGTCCCCAGCCTTCCCGGTTCTGCTGAGGCTCGTGCCAAGGACGGCAAGAGCAACTACGACTCCTTCGTGTGGGCTATCGTGAACAAGAACAACATGAAGCAAGTTCGCGACCTGCGATACGACGTCTCCCTCACCTCCACCAAGGATAACTCGAAGCTGGCTGACTGGCTTACTGTCATGAGCGAGAGTGCCGAAATCACCAACGCCCTTCTGACCGATGAACTTGCCGCAGCTGTCAAGGCTGCCGGAGATGCCTTCCAGTACCTCATCATCACCGACCAGCCTACTGACAAGCCCAAGACCCTCGCCGAGAACGTTCCTACCAAGCGCATCATTCTCAAGTATCGTCTCAACTCTGGCAACAACTACAAGGAATTCCTTCCTCTCTTCACTTACTTCAACCGCCTCCCCGACGTTCTTGTACAGTCTGCCCGCTTCCGCCCTGAGGTTCTCAAGAAAGTCAAGGTTACCCGCGAGCTGATGGACAAGGAGCTCAGAAAGGCTCTCGATGATGAGAAGGCTGAGGAGCGTCTCCTGGAGAAGGAGAAGGCCAAGAAGGTCAAGCGTGACGCTGAGCTTGCTGGCCTCAATGCCAAGGCTCAGAAGAAGTACCTGGAGAAGGAAAAGGAGAAGGAGATGCGCAAGGCCCAGAAGAAGCAAACCATGCGTGGGTAAATCCTGTAACAATACATTTTCAACGTACTATATTGTCATCATCACTCTATTGTATTAAGGCATATTAGTTAAAACCGGACACTATCTTGGTTTGAAATATAATTCCGAACATTATTAATACCAATGCGTTGAACTTAGCGGCAAATAGCAAATAAGTAATGTACAATATCTAGAAATAGCAAGATAATTGATGGAACCGAAAGAAACAGGCCGTATACTATGCAATATTCATCTGAATTGGTTGGGGGGGGGGCATTCTCTACACATCTTCTCTGACTTCGTGAGGTAATTGAGCTCTGCCTCGTCGACAAAAGATAGCAGAGAGAGTTTGAAAGCGGCTGAGCACATGATGTATTAAGCAGCGGACTTTTTATTATCGTAACTCAGAAAATTGACAAAAGTTGGAGGCAAATGTGTTCGCTTTGCGATGACGCTCGAAACCATACCAGGAGAAGAATCCAAATCGGCCAAAACATGCCCAAAGGACTATTATACAAAGGGCATCGCCCGGTAAATGCGATGCTTTTTCCACATGTACAAGTACAAAATACAGATAGGTCTCGGATTTTCCGAGCCTTGATCTCGATATTGTCCAGAAATTACTGGACCGTACCAAACATTCGGGAGGGGAGACGACGGGGGGGGAATATTGGATTCGACAAGACGAATCCGCGCTGAAGAGACAATATGCAAGACAGAAACGAACAGCAACACCAAAGGAGGGCCAAGTCTTGCACTATCCAAGAAGAATCTCGCCGTCCTCCTTATGCTGGGCGTCCCACGCCTTCTCGAGGATGTGGCCCAGCCCGCGACGGTACGCGATGCCGCCGATCCTCTCGATCCAGAGCACGTTGACAATGTAGATGTACTCCTCCACGTCCTTGTTCGCCTGGAACTGCTCCTCGCTGAACAGCTGCGAGCCCCTGCGCTCGATCACGGTGGAGATGGCGACGAACTCGAGCATCTCGTCCGCGTCGCGGTCGTAGTTGGACGACTGGACCCCGAGCCAGCCGTCGTGGGCGCGGAACGTGCCCGCCCAGCGGTTCGACTTGGTCCAGATGTTGCCGACGGCCACGGGGGGGCAGTCGGCATCCCGGGGAGCGAGGGATTCGGAGTAGTCGACCTCGAAGAAGGCTGACTTGGACCTGAAGGACAATAGCGGGCCGGGGTAGGCGAGCTCACCAACCGGCGGCTCGTAGGTGCCTTCCTCGGGGAGGTCCTCTACCGGGACGGGGTACTTGAATGTTGTGTCCGGGTCGCCGTCGTATTTGAAATAATGACTGCCTGATTTCGACCACCCGGCCGGCAGCACCGTGGCAGGTGTCTTCCTTGCCCTCAGGTCGCGGTACTGCAAGCCCGTGTTCGCGACAGGGACGCTGGCCTGTCTATCGGTGAGGCTCCACGTCACGGTAGACTTGAATTTGAAGCCAGAAGTCGGCTGTAACCTTTTGGGTGCGGTGCCGCCCTTTCCCCATGCCAAGGTATCGTGCACATAGTCCGCGGCAGCTCGCCAGAGGACCATATCGGCGGGGACTCCATCAAACCACCAGCCCATCCACGACCAGGATGGGAGGAAAGGGGGCTTCATCACAGCCCGTCGTCTGATGGACGCTTGCGGCCGCCACAAAAGCGCGACATCGAGAAACATCAGCGGCATCCCGTAGATGAACCCGCCTGGAAACACACGGGATAGCATGTGGGTGATTCCAGCAAAGGCCCTGAGCGCGTCTTCGGGAACGGTCACCTTTCTGGCGCTATACTCCATCGCGATACGGGCATACTCGTCTAGATCTGGCCAGGTCGTGTGACGATAGCCCAGGATGGCCTCTGCCGGCCCTATTGTGCAGGCGGGGGTGGGTTTGCGCCGCATCGCCTTCAGAACACTGGGCGGCGTGTTCTCCCAGAGGTCGCAGTGGCATTCCCAGGTGATGGCATCCTCGAAGAAGAAGACGCAGCGCCGCGAGTACATGTATTCCTGCAGAGTCCACCCTCTCGTGTGCCACCTCGACTTCAAGACCAGCTCATCGTGGGTTTGGCCCTGCGGACGGAAACCCCCGCGCGCTGCCGGCGGTGGTCGGCGCGGGTCGAGTTGCACCAGCCCGGTTTCCGCATCGCCGTGCGCCGCGACAATGGTCAGGTAGGCGCCCGCGAAGATGTCCGCCATGTGCCTGACGTGCGCCTCCTTCTGCACCTCGTCGTCCTGCACAATGCAAAGCCGGTCAACCCAGATATACTTGAGGCCCAACTTCCGCGACAGCCTGATGGCATCGTATATGGTATTAGGGACATCCCTCTCTGGCAGGCCGTCCCGGTACACGTCTATATTACTCTTCAGCAGCTTGGCGGACTCTTCTGGCTCGCTCTTCCGTTGATTGGGCCCCATGCCCCAGACATAGCTCAGAGCCACATAGCGGTCGCCTGGTCTCGATTGCACAAGACAGCGTTCGGAGGAATCAATCAGCCACTCCGGACGAAAGGTCGTGCTCGCCGTCGGATCGGGGTCATCGGCTGGGTTACTGACGCTGCAATGATGGTCGTGCTCGCGGTTGCAGGTATCGAGCCATTCGCGGACCTTGGCGATGGGACTCGGCCCGTTGGTGGACGAGGCAGACGAGGCGCGGCGCCCCAGGGGTGAGGACGGATCTCGGTTGCGGACCTGGTTCAAGGTATTGACCAGTCGATCGGTGATGCTGTTGCGCTTGCTCGGTTCGCGATCGCGGTCGCGCGACCGGCCAATGCCGGACATTGGCCTGGATTGCTATATTCTTCTGTTCTCGGCCTGACCGTTGCTGGGGGCCTCGCAAAGTCCCCCTTTGCGCCTTGGGTTGCGCGCGCGGCGCCCTCTCGGTGGGCTGGTGGCACGTCGTACAGCAGAGATGAGACGAGGCGATACTGGCGGTACACCATTCACATTCTATGATTGGCGAGCTGTGAGACCATCCACATCAGCAGCTGCAGCCATGACGCGCGCAAGGAGCGCAAAAGTTTTAGTGGGCCTCGAAGCTATAGCAGAGCAGAGAGGATTGATTCCGTGCAGGGTGGATCGACTGGTGACGGGGCGAAGGAGCCGATGGTTTGCAAACATTGGCATGAATGTTATGCGAACGGACGGCGGGGGACAGAGGGGGGCCTTACCTTGCATATGCGTTTGTTCGCCCACTGTGTGCGTGTGTGTACTGTAAGTGTGGGCAGGTGTTTGGTCTGTCTGCCAGCTCGAACCCTCGTCCAACCCACCAAGAGACAGACAGACTCGGCTCATGTCATTTCCTGGTGGGGTCCCTTGGCCTTGGATCACCCTAGCAATAGCAACATCATCCAATCGCTCTAGCAGGCAGCACTAACATGGGTTCAGTTGAAAGAGAATTGCAATCTGGGCCGTTGGGCATCGATGCTATGCCGGATCCCAGTCCATGGTGTCGCGAGTGCTTATGGCCAAACGCTTTGCGCCTACCGAATTAATGTATCGGAGATGCGTCGCCTGTTGGCACAGCAACAGAGGAGCTGGTGTCTCAAAACATCCTTGCACAAGCATCGAGCCCAGCCTTGGAGATGTGATGTGTCAAGGTGTGACAGCAACAGGGAGAGCAAGATCAACAAGGCATCAATCTCAAAGTCGTCAATTCTTGAAAATCTCATCGCCACGTTCTAACTCCAATTCATCTCATCACCCCAGTCTAACTCCAGTCTATTTTCCACCAATCAACGATACATGTATAGGTTTGTTTATAACTTCCACGCAGAAACAGATGCTTCTTATTGAAACAGTTAGTCTGCCACGTAATGGCTCTGTTTATCCTGTAGTTCTTTTACTCTTCGGCGTTGCGCTTCAGGCCCTTGACCAGAAGACTCTGGCCAGTCATGTTCTCGGGCTGAGGCAGTCCCATAGCAGCAAGAATGGTGGGCGCAACGTCACCGAGGACGGCCTCGGATGTGTTCTTCAGGCCCCAGCCCTCAGGGGCGTTGGCCATGATAAAGGGGACCCTGGAGAATAGATCAGCTCTGGTTGGCTCAATAGGCGACACGTTGCTAAGGTCACATACTTGTTGGTGGTGTGGCTGGTCTTGGGCTTGCCATTGGCGAACTTCATCTCCTCAGCATTGCCGTGGTCGGCGGTGATGTAGAGGACATATCCTTCCTTCTTGCAGCCCTCGTAGATCTTGGCAATAGCCTTGTCACAAGCCTCGACAGCAACAAGAGCAGAGTCATACTAAAGGAAGCGTTAGCATTCACTATTCCGGTCCCTGCTCAAAGCGAAACGTCATGGTCAAGACTCACCACTCCAGTATGTCCGACGTATTATAATGTTAGCTAACCTATCATCAAATTTTCGCGGATCAAGAAGGGGTACTTATCATGTCGGGGGCAGCCAAGTTCTGATCGACCAGTATTGTCAGCTCTGAAAGACATAAGGATCATCGAGGGCACAAATACTACTTACACACATAACAAAGGGGAACTTTTGCTCTGCCAGTCGCTTGTTGACCTGGTTTGCGACACCGTCCTGAGACATCTCGGGAGCAAGGTCGTAGGTGGCAACGGACTTGTTTGAAGGCACGAGATCCTGCTCCATGTCTCTTGTCTCCAAGGGGAAGATCTTCTCAACACCTCCGTTGAAGAAGAAGGTGACGTGCGCGTACTTCTCAGTTTCGGCAACGTGGACCTGCTCAACATTCTGCTTTCCTAGCCACTCGGCAAGGACATCGTCCATCTTCTGGGGCTGGAAGGCAATAGGGAAAGGGTAGTCGCCCTTGTACTGGGTCATGGTAGCAAGATGGATCTTGGGGTAAGGGAAGTCGGGGAGAACGGATCGGTCAACATCGCCAAGAACCTGTGTAATCTGGCGGACGCGGTCTAACATTCACGTCAGTTCCTGCAATGCTTTTCCTCTCGGGGGCGAGAAGAGTTGTGTTGGGGAGATTTACCAGATCTGTAGTTGAAGAAGAACACGGTATCATCATCTGGACGATTGGTCAGTCTTGCATCCAAGCCATAGTCGGCTGAAGAGGCCAGGTCTTATAAGGTCAACTCACCCTTGAATCTCCTCTCATCGCCACCGACAATAATAGGCTTGAGGAACTCGTCAGCATCCTTAGATCCTCCCTTGGCATAGACATCCTTGATAGCCTGGACGGGATCCTCGGTTGGGGTTCCTTCTCCGAGAACAAGACCCTTTAGGGCACTTGAAGGGAGATGCATCAGCGAATTCGAACTCGACAAGTGGATATCGGATCCAGCGGCACTCACATCTCGCAACGCTCCCATCTCTTGTCACGGTCCATGGCATAGTATCGGCCAACGATTGTAGCGATCTCACCAGTGCCAATTTCCTTGGCGGTCTCGATGAGCTCTTCCAGGTAAGCGGCTCCGCTTTTAGGGTCAGTATCACGGCCATCACCAAAGAAGTGGATGAAGACCTTGGGGACACCAATCTCCTTGGCGAGCTTGAGCAGAGCATAGAGGTGAGTCTGCTTGGAGTGGACGCCACCATGGCTGACAAGGCCCTATCATGATGTAAGATCGACAAGTTAGCTCCTCAGCTTCTCCAACATGACCAGATCTGGGAAGATGTCAGAAATGGCGGTTGCTTACAGCAAGGTGAAGTCGTCCGTTGCCGTTCTTGGCCCGCTCAAAGGTTTGAACAAGGACCTCGTTCTTGTTGAGCTCTCCCTTCTTAATTGTCTGGTCTATGTCCCAAGATCAGCCCCGATGAACAAATTTATGTCTAGATATCCTGCGCCAGGAGAAAAAAAAAATAAGTCATGAATACATCCAACACTTACCGATTCTCACGACATCCTGGTACACGACTCTGCCGGCACCGATGTTCAGGTGGCCGACTTCGGAATTGCCCATCAGGCCCTCGGGCAGACCGACAGCTGTGGAAGAGGCCTCAAGCTCAGCAAAGCTCTCCTTGTTCTGGGCGAAGGCGTCCATGGTAGGGCTCTTGGCGTTGGTGATGGCATCGCCATCCTTGGGCGACTGCTCGCCGGGGATTCCCCAGCCATCGATAACGACTAGGAAACTCGGTGTTAGTTGGGAGATGAACGCGACGCGAGAAGACCATCTTCTGCTCCTGCTGAGACAGAGGGCCGTCTGGGCACTGAGGGAGCATACTGAGGCAGGCCTTGGTCTCGGTTGAGGTCATGGTGTTTAGTTACGTCTTGAATTGGGAATTGACTGAGAATGCAAAAGAAAAGAACGAATTAAAAAAGCTGCTCGCAGAGTGGAAGGGGGAGAGTCGACTATTATTTCGTCTCAAAATTTAGCATGGACGTTAGCCTTAGGTAGTTTTAGGTGTAGGTAGCAGAACATACGAGGGGCACTGGAGAATGGAGGGGCAAGGAGGGGCAGCATTTTGTATCGAGATGAGGTTTTGCATGCTGCACGGGTCACCGCTGCTCCCGACCTGGTCTGCCCAGCCACGGCCTGATTCCCGGGCTCCCGTTCGTTCGATTTGGACAGTGCAGCTACATGAGAGGTACATCAGTCTTACGTCTATCTGCCTCCTTACAGGCAGACCGCTGAGGCATTTACGATGGGGATGCAGTCTAATCGGCAAGTTGTGACGTCTGGCTGTTGGTAATGGGCAGCTATCAATGGCTGGCAGGAGCTACTTACAGGCGGTAGGCGGTATGGAACGGAAGCAGACAGCGCCCTCCGCGGCCCAGCAGGTGGCGCACACGGGCTGTTCTCAGCCAGTAGTTCGCCGTCAGTGGCCCCTGGCAGGTGTGGGTGCGCTATCAGTCCAGCCAAGATATCAATTCAGGTTACCTACAGCACATGCCTAAGAGAATCCATCCTCCCATATCACATCCATTGATCGTTCTGCGTGCATGTTTCCTAGCCCTTTTCTGCACACAATAGCTGGCTTCAACGCTTCGTTCCTGTGCTGCTAAGCATCTATCATGTACTCGTCTGTGCTCAGTACACCCCCAGCTGATATGACAGGTAGCTCTGTCTGGGAAAATGATTGCCTCACTCACCCCTTACTACCCTAGAATATCATGCCACAGCTGATCATACGTGCCATTTCCACCTGAAATCAGGCGTTGCCACTTAGATATGAAGCCCCTGGGGCACTGCTCAGTCCTTTGGTGTCTCATGACAGAGTGGTAGCTCCCATACAGCTTTCTTGCCAATTGCTGAGAAAATAACACCCACATGCCTACCGTAGTATGTTGAGAATAACCAACGCTCACCTTCATGCTTGCAGACACTCTAGTGGATCATCTAGTAGTAACAGTCTTATTTTTATTCTGATTAAGCCTATTCACTGCCCACTCTCAGCATATTGCTTGCGGTTCCATGCTACACAATCATCAAACTTGACTCCAGATCCACCGAAACAGTCAAGAGCGCTCCCGATAGTGAGATCTACCCTGCTAGCACTCAGTCGCTTCACGGCTTCCAAATCCTCCAGGTTCCGGCCGCCTCCCGCATAAGTAACGGGGATAGAACACCACTGCGCCAACCGCTCAACTAGCTTCTCATCAATTCCCTTCTGCAAGCCCTCGTTGTCTGCGGCGTGAATAAGAAATTCGGAGCAATAAGGTTCCAATGCCTTGATCGATTCTGCTCCGTTTATTAGTTTAGAGTGCTTTCAAGGCATATCACCCAAACGGGGATAGAAGCAACGCACCCGAGTTCACCTCCATATCAGTGATTGTCTGCCACTTGTTCATAGCAACGAACCAGCTCTCGTCGCCTCGGCGGCGACAGCTTAGGTCGATAACCAGCTTATTCTTGTCACCTCCCAAGGACTTGAGCACCGAATCCAGCCTTGGCTGGCTAAATTTGCCCTCTGGGAACAAGAATGAGGTGATGATGACCTGTCTCAACTAGTCAGCTGGCAATGGTCTCATTTGTCGAGGTTTCGAGCCAGCCTATTGATGGCATTCTCATCTCAAACCTTTTCTGCGCCTGCATCTATCCATTCCTGGGCATTTTTATCCGAAATGCCACCTCCTACCTGGAGGCGACCTGGCCATGCCTGCAGTGCTTCTTTGGAGGCTTGCTCATTTCCAGGGCCAAGCATTATGACATGAGCTCCGGTAAGATCATTGTCTTTGTAGAGTTGTGCGTAGTATGACGAGGGATGCTTGGAGACATAGTTGGTCTTCAGAGCTTCCGAGGAGCTGTCCAGAGTGCCACCGACAATCTGCTTCACCGCACCAGCGTGCAGATCGATACAAGGCCTGAAACGAGTCATGGTAATCTGTACCCAATTGGCCTTTCGAGACGGAAAGGACGAGAAAAGAAGAGGAGAAACTACAACAGACAGCTTGTTCGCATTAAAATCGATGAAGACATCCAATAGCTAGCCATCTAAACCTACGTCTAGCCTATTATATAAGCGCAAGTAGGCTCTCCATACCCACACACCTATGGACGGACGTAAGATGTGTTCCAGCATGCTCTGTCATTATCTCACTGCGGCAATTTTTCACAGAGGGAATCTAAGATTACCTAGGCACATAAAAGTAATTCAAAAGACATAAAAGTAAACCAGAAGACGCAAAAACAAAAAGCGTACAGATTGCGAGGATCGAACTCGCGACCTTATCGGTAGTTTCGAGTAGAAACTGTGAACGATACGTGATAGCCACTACACCAAACCTGCTTGGGAAAGTTGCGAGCTTATGTAGTCTATCACCAGCTCACCGGGTTGCGTGCAGAACAGAATAGCGAAAGCAATAGCGGCGAACTGGGCGTATTGATAGAGGACCTGCTACTAGTGAATGTTGATTTTGAGCAAACTTGAAGCAAAAAATACAACTACCTAATGTATCTATGTTGTTACTGTTCTTAAGAGGTTATTCGCCCGATAAGACCTCGTCACTTGCTGAAAGAGGTAGGAGAGTGGAATCAATTGGTTGGCTGGTGCTTTGATCCCGAGGCCTGAACAACAAAACCACCCCAAGATAGTGGCTGTGGAGGTTCAAACAATGCCGTCTTTCGGCTGGAATGCATTGCACCCACATCGTGGGGCTCGCTGATTTAACCAACCCTGGTGTTTGCATGAAGACGCTATCCTCCGAGAAGAACGCGAACGAGCTCTTGATACCGTCATGAGATCAGAAAGCAGGAACTGATCCCAGCGCATGGTCGAACTCTATGCAATAATTAATTCACAATCCCAGGGTGGTGCGCAACGACCCTTGCCCTTGTCGCAGCAAGCCAGCCTCCAATCAGCATGAGCGAGAGGAAGAGGCAATGGGAAAGATCGAGCACACCGGGCATAATCATGGGCAAAGTTTATTTTGTTTATTTGTTTTGGATTTTGCCGGTGCTCGGTTGCCACGCCTCCGTCTCAAATCCTGCCTCTCCGTCTCCGTCCCCCATTACGAGTAGTGCTTCCCGATGCAGCTGCACGAAGCAGGAAAAAAAGAAAAGAAGAGGTGCACCTACGGCTTATCCCCGTGCGCAGGAAGGGTTGCCCCAGATAGCCGCCGCGGCTGCATGTGCCTAGTAGGTAGATTACTGTCTGCTGCACGTAGGAGCTTGCTGATGCCGTGCGTGCGCATATGCAGCACTTGGTATGTATGGAGGGTTTGGTTGGGTCAACAAAGAATACGAGCCCACTCGACTCAGCTGCTTGTGACCTCGAGTTGTTGCTCGAGCTCCCCGTCCAACGGTCCAGACACAGTCATTGCCCCCTCCACAGGGCATGGCGGGGTCGCTGGTAGCCTGTCACAGAGTGATTAGCGCCCTGCAAGAGCATGCGAGAGCCTGCCAGAGACCAGGGGCTCCCGGTCCGTTTCCCAGGCAACGCCCGACCATCAGAAACTGACTGTTTGTTTTGCCCGCGGCCAATCACAGCTGGTCGTCTGTTGCTCGCACTGCGTCCCTTAAACACAGCACCGAGCATCCTCTCTGCCTCCTCCATCCCTTGACAAGAACACATGCCGCCCTTCTATTTGTTTAGTCAATGCGTTCTTCAATCACTTCATTGTCTACATTGTCTTCATTGTCTTCTTCCATCGTCGAGGCCCTCGCGCGCCGACAGCTGAGGCAACCCAACATTCTTTCCCGATACTAGCGTTTTCCGTTCCGTTCCCATACGTTATTCTACTTTGGCCTTGCCGCGCCGCGACTTTTATTAGCCACTCGAGTGTGAAACAATCTGCATACCAATGATTTCAGAGATCGAGACGAGCATACCGCCGCCTATTTGACCAAGATGGCGTCCGATTCGGTATGTAGCAAATCCCAAAGCCACTCGTCGATACATGGCACTGACCCTACTTGTTATCGCAGGTCTCCCCTCTTCGCATCCACAAACAATCACTAGGTTCACCACTCAAGATGGGATCTGGGAACCCCCGTCCACTATCAGAGCTCTCTCCGATGGAGAAGAGAAGAAACTCGCCCAGCTGGTGTCAGCCCAAAATATCGCCCAAGGTGAGTCACACCTCGCTGTGTTCTCTGCGTGGAATGCAACATGTCCATCGACGCGGGTTGATCCGGGTGGCTAACACATTGCTTCTAGAAGGCGGCATTGAACAATGATTCCTCGCCATTCCAGTCGTCTCCTCTGGAGACCGTCTCATCCCCTCGCATGTTTTGGCAGAACCGCAACAGCGAGAACACTTTCCAGGGTGGCCGTAACGGTTCACCATCCCCCACCCGCCGCTCCTCTATTGAACGCCTACAGAAGGCGTCGCGCGTCAGGAACAGCAACATTCTAGCTCTTGAGCAGAGGCAAGAATATGATCCTACTCGACTGCCTCAGATCGAGAGACCCCTTGCTAAGGTCTCTGGGAACGCCTTTCGATTATCCACCGCTGGTCAAAAGAGTCCTGAATCTTCCGACCAGTCTGTTTTCGACTCCAGTCACAACGAGAGTACCATGAGCTCATCAACCACAATGGCGAGCCCGGTGCCTGTCCTTGCAGCTCCAATCGAAAGCACACCACGCACACCAAGCAGCAAGGACCAGGCTTCCCCAACAAAGTCGTCGCTCTCGCCTTCCAGATTTAAGAGCAGCTTCGACCAAGAGACAGGGCAGTGGACTTTTGATTCGTCCATGAATGAACATGACATGCCGAGCGGCCGATCACTACATCGCCATGCCAAGAGCGTTACATTTGATGCAGCACCTCCCCAAATCAATGAATATGAAATGGCTACTCCAGATTTATCATCTGTGGGCTCAAATTCACGAGAAGGCAGCTATGAATCCTTCGGGGACGAAGATGACAGTATGCTTTACGAATCAGGGGATGTGGACCTGAACGAGGAGAGCTTCGATGCATCGCTCGAGGACACAGACAAGACCCCCGTCGTCGGTCCCGATGACTGGCGAGGAGAGAGCCCATTTACGCATTTCAGCATGCAGTCCAAGGAGTGGTCAGCCAGCCCTATGCCAGAAGCCGCACCATCCGTTGCTGAGCATGGAACTCCGAGCACAAAGCGTAATGAATCTGGAAACTCGAACACCGACCACCGGCCTTTACCGCCACTGCCCGGCGCTCTCGGTCATTCCAGGACTCAATCAAATGACTCCTCTCGTGCTTCTCCAGCTTTGTCGGCAGCTTCAACACGTAGAAGCCTCCCTTCGCCTCCACCAGGCGTGGCCACCGGCAAAACTGACATCCCTAGTATCGGGCATGGCAAAATGTCTCTCGAGGAAAGACTGAAGCTGATGATGCTATCGGATGATGTTGGTGGGAAATCAGCTGCAGAGCAGCAGCGCGAGCGCCGCCTCCGACGTGCTAACGGCCGTGAGAGGCTAAGCAGCCCCATTTCCGAGGCAGAATCCAGCATGGTCGAGGATGATACCATTGGTGACATCTCTGGCTTGGAGGATTATCAACTGCCCAGCCGCATCTCGCGCGAATCAATCATGCGACGAGTTAATGGCAACAAAGTCAACGAAAGAGAGTCAGACTGGAACTTCTCGTCTCCCGCCCCAAGCTCAAGCCCCCAGCGCAGCCCCAGCAAGAGCCCAGAGAGGTCATTCCCTCTTGATCCTGATGTCCCCATTCCCTCAACCGAGGACTCAATCTTGAGCGAGGATCTGGAAGACGAGGATGAGGAGGGCAGCGTCATCATCACCCGAAACCCAGATTATGATTATGATGATGAGGAAGATGAGGATCTCTCGGAATTCCTCGAGAACTTCGATCCTGAAGCCGTGGACAAGGAGCTGGCCGAAGCTGAAGACAAACTCCTCCAGGCTGCCAACGCCGATGACAATGGCAGCAATTACTCAGACCATGCTACAACACCGCAGGAAGAGCCCGAGAAACTCATCGAGGAAGAGGCTGAAACCCCCCGTGCCACAAGCCCTGCCAGTCTGAAGCCCAACCCATTGAAGTGTATTCCAGACCTCAGCCGAAAACCAGAGGAATCATCAGTCTCGTTGGAATTTGACTCTGACTTCCCCAAGGACGACCAGATTGAAGATGTGCAAGAAGACTTGGAGGCTAAGAGCCAGGTTGAAACGGATGAGCTGCAGGAAAGCGAATCCCAAGAACACCGACCTGAGCAGGAGGAAGCTTCCCCTCGCCCCCACACACCAGATCAGACCATGTCAAAGCCTGAATACGATGGCTCTGGCTGGGGTGAGCCAGAGGACAGCATCTCAGAGCCTGGAACACCAGACTCAGTCATCCACCACCGTGCATCAGCCGACGAGGATGCGCAGGTGTATGATGAGCCAAAAGAGGAGCCCGTCATTCCGGAGAGACTAGCCACAATCAAATCGTCTTCTGGCTCAAAGCTGAAGACGCGTGTCTCCAACACTCCTGCTGATCTGGCCGCCATGCGCGAGACTCGACGACAAGTCAGTGTCGAGGTCCCCGACGTGCCAATGATCCCCGACTTCCATCGCCAAAAAGTGACAAGGGATCTAGAGGCAGACCTCACTGCTCCCACCGAAGAAGCTGTGCAGCGTCACCCCAGCTTCCACAAGCGAAGTTTAACTTTAGACCTCGATCTAGGTCTTAGCCTGGATCAAGATTTCGAGAGGGTTATGGAGGCACAAAAGGTTGCTTACAACGATTTCATTTCAGAACCTTCTTCTGAGGCGAGACTGTCGTCTGGCCTGCTGCTTGATGAGGACGGTGCTAACCTTCAATCTCGTAACCAGCGTGGATATCTCATGAGGCAGAACACCAAACTTGTCACTGCCACTGACAAGGACCGAGATGAGCACTGGAAAGCTCGTTCTGCAGGTAACTCGCCAGTCAAGCAGGAGCGACCACAATCTTGGGTTGTCGAGCCCTGGCACACACAGCCCCGCCAGAAGAGCACTCGCAGAAGATCAGCGCGCTTGAGCACTGGCCCCGTTCCTCCGGTTCCCGGTCAGCAGAGTAACGCAACAGCCCTTGACCAGGTTGCTGAAGATGCTGAGCCAGCAGAGGTCTCCACTCCTGAGAGCGGCGAGAGAGGTCGCCTCTTCGTCAAGGTCATGGGTGTCAAGGACCTTGACCTCCCACTTCCCAAGAGTAAGTTTGTCAAGAATGACCATACAAAGTCGGGGAGTAAGCTAATAATGAATCCAGATGAACGATCATGGTTCAGCCTCACTTTAGACAATGGCGTCCACTGTGTGACAACGGCTTGGTTGGAGCTTGCAAGAAATGCTCCTATCGGCCAAGAGTTTGAGTTGGTCGTCCCTAATGATCTTGAGTTCCAGCTTACACTCAACGTCAAGCTTGAAAAGCCCACAGCGCCAATCAAGCTCAACCCCACAACCACCAAGACCGCAAAGCCCAAGACTTCCACGTTCAGCCGAGTGTTCGCGTCTCCAAAGAAGAGGAAGGAGCTCGAGATTCGCCAGCGCGAGGAAGAGGAGCGAGTCGCTCAGCAGCAGAGGGATGCGCAGGCGCGGCAGCGAAACGCTGCACCTACTGCTTATGAGCTGTTGTCTCCGTTGGCAGCTGAGGATGGCAGCTTTGCCCGATCCTATGTTTGCCTCAAGGAGCATGAGACCCGCTGCTACGGCCGCCCATATATGGCCGAGATTGCCTGCTTCAACGAGTGGGCAACTGAAGAACCAGCTTTTGCTTCCAGCGTGAAGAGCAAGCGTGGAAACACTGCGGTTGTCAGGCGCGCTCCATATAAGGTTGGAAAGCTTGAGCTCCAGCTCCTCTTCGTTCCTCGTCCTAAGAATACGACCGATGAGGATATGCCCAAGAGCATGAATGCTTGTATCCGAGAGCTCAAGTCGGCAGAGGAACGGTTATCCCGTAACTGGGAGGGTCACCTGAGCCAACAAGGAGGCGACTGCCCTGTAAGTTTTCACCCACCAGCCATATCCGTCTTTTGAGCAAGATTGCTAACAGCAAGATTAGTACTGGCGCCGCCGTTACTTCAAGTTGGTAGGCACCAAGCTCACAGCTTTTCATGAAATGACACGTCAGCCCCGTGCTACAATCAATCTCTCCAACGCTAAGCGCTTGATCGACGACCGCCAAGCTCTCACGGAGAGGGAGACGATGGGCAAGGGCGGCAGGCGACGTCGCTCCGCATTTGCGGAAGAGGAAGAAGGGTACATGTTTGTTGAGGAAGGCTTCCGCATTCGATTCAACAACGGCGAAGTGATTGACTTCTACGCTGACACCGCTGAGGACAAGGAAGGCTGGATGAAGGTTCTCAACGAAGTCATCGGCCGTGGAGACGTCATGGATGATGGCGGCAACGCCCGAGCCCGGTCTAAGTGGTGCGAGCTTGTGCTTCGGCGAGAGGAGCAGCTCCGTCGACGCTCCAGTTCTCGACGTGTACATTCACGAACTAAGAGCATGTACCTTTGAGCACCTACCGACGGGCTCGATGCATGGAGTGGAGATGTGATACGTGTATGAACTTGAAATGTGCATGGGATTGACACAAGACTTTATGAGGTCCAACGGAAGGTGGCCCTTTGAGATGGCTATAGCTGACGCCATTGCTATATAGCTCATCTAGGCCAGACCTGGTTGGAATGGATTTGTTTTCGGGTTGGAGGTATGAAGCGGGCTCTTTGGCGGCGCATTATAGGTGTTACTGTTTTTTATATTCTGCCGTTCCGGCTTGGGAGGGGCGCTCAGGCGCTATCTCACATGCTCTTTTCTGTATTGAAATTTCAGGACTCACTAATGACTGAATAATGTCCATAACCTGAACCTACTTGTTTACACAAACATACCAGCTCCTAAGTGACGGATGATTTCTCTGAGCTCTGATGGGCATCACGTGATGACCGTCTCTCACACTCTTTGGCGCAGGCATTAATGTATCACAGTCATACACACACCTGAGATCAGGGGCTACTGTAGCCGTTGTTGATGCCCCGAAAATGTGGCGCAGCTCGAGTTTCAAGACCCAGTTTGCCTGTCAGTGGTGAGAATGGGGGTCGCACGCGCCACCAATTGGGTCTATCTCTCAGCCTAGCTCTTACAGTACTCTTGTGCCTGCAATGCGAGGTACGTACTGCTGTCCAACGACGGTACAGGGGAGGTGCCCAGTACATGTACCCAAGCTACAACAACAACCGTCCACTCCTTGCTGGCTTCATCAAGCTCACGACGCCCTCATTCCAGACGTTGGGCCCCAAAAGTTTGCTAAGACGACCACAAGCAATTGCTCGCCCCGCGCATCCTACCTTCCGATAATACACCTCCAATCGTTCCGCGACTCGTTTCGCCGCAATGGCCGGTCGTTTCGTTCGCGCGTCGAAGTATCGTGAGTACAGCCCGGCGCACTCGAGCCTCGTTGGTCATGTGCCATAATTCAAAGCTAACTTTCGACGACTTGCCCCCCTCCAGGACACATCTTCGGGAAGCCGACCAAGAAGGACATCTGCTACGACAATATCCACATCAGTCGCAATGCCTGGGACACCAACCTGGTCAAGGTACGTCGACCCCCATCAGCCGATTTCAGCTCCAACAGGATTCAGGAGTGCTAAGTCCAAACCGTGTTTTTTGTACAATAGGTCAACCCTGAGTACCTTTCAGTCAACTGGGACTCCTCCGGCGGTGGCGCATTCGCAGTCATTCCCCTGAACGAACGAGGCAAGCTGCCCGACCAAATCCCGCTGTTTCGAGGACACACAGCCACTGTTCTCGATACCGACTGGTACGTGGTCGAACCCACCACCTCTTGATCCCAAGAGGATCGCGCTCATTTCGGATGCAGGAACCCATTCAACGACCGTATCATCGCCTCTGCCTCGGAAGATGGAAAGGTGTTTCTCTGGGAGGTGCCACAAAACTTCACGCTTTACACCGATGCCGAAGAGGTTCCCCATGTCTCTCCTGTTCACAAGCTGGGAGGACACACAAGGTACCTCAACCAGTTGACCTTTGCGCCAATTAACCGTGTGAATGCTAACGGCCCAATAGAAAGGTCGGCCAGGTTCTTTTCAACCCTGCCGCGGAGAACATTCTCGCTTCGGCCTCCGGCGACTTTACAATCAAGCTCTGGGATGTCGGGACCGGCCAGAACGCCCTCACCCTGAAGCACAGCGATATCGTACAGAGTTTATCCTGGGATGCCAGTGGTAGCATGCTCGTGACTACCTCTCGCGACAAGAAGATCCGCGTATGGGATGTTCGCCAGGAGCGACCTGTCCACGAGGCACCCGGACACGCTGGCGCCAAGAACAGCAGAGCTGTCTGGATGGGCGAACATAACAGGTTCGCCACTACTGGTTTCTCCAGAATGAGTGAGCGACAGATCGCTCTTTGGGAACCTGGCAGGAACGAGCCCATTGGTGGATTCACTATGATCGATTCCATTTCTGGTGTCTGCATGCCTTTCTGGGGTAGGTTTATTTTACGTCCCATCGGAAAGTGGTTGTTTAGGTCGGCCGCTAACCTGCTCTACAGATGATGGTTCCAACTGTCTTTACCTTGCTGGAAAAGGGTGAGTTCGTCTCTGTTGAAGTCTGAGGACCATCATTTCTGACGGAATTTAGTGACGGCAACATCCGCTACTACGAGTATGAGAACGACAAGTTTGAGTATCTGAGTGAATTCAAATCTGCTGAACCTCAGCGTGGTCTTGCATTCATGCCACGAAGGGGCATCAACGTACGGCTTCCACCTCTCTCGCCAAGTTCACACGTTCCTTGCTAACAATAGACAGGTCCACGACAACGAGGTCATGAGGGCCTACAAGACGGTCAACGATTCCTACGTTGAGCCCATCTCCTTCACTGTGCCTCGCCGCGCAGAGACTTTCCAGGCTGACATTTTCCCCCCAGCTGTCGGCAACAAGCCAGCTGTGAGCTCCTCGGAATGGCTCGGCGGCAAGAGCGGACTCCCAGCCAAGATTGACTTGGAGAGCATCTACGAGGGTACCGCACCTAAGGAGGTTCCTTCTGACTACAAACCAATCCCCAAGCCCGAACCATCTCCTCTTCCCAAGGCCACTCCCAAGGCTGTGGAGCCTAAGGAAGCTCCTAAGCCTACTATCCGATCACCTCCCCCTACAATGGCTGACCAAAGGGGATCCATCTCGGCTATGGCCAACAAGTACCAGGACAACGAGGAAGCAGAGGAAGAGGAGGATGAGACATCTAGCTTCGAGGAGATTTCCAAGCCCGCTCAGCGAGGAAATGTCCGCGCCGATCCTCCCAAGCCTGTCACGGTCCCCAAGGTGCAGCCATCGTCTTCTCTCGCCACCCCCGTCACAGCCTCATCTCACCTCAAGTCTCCCGCCGGCTCCGCGACGCCTACACAGATGCTCTCGCCACTCCCTAAGAACGTGGAGAGCTCTCTGGATCATATCAAGGAGCTTATTGAGAACCAAACCAGGATCATCAACGCACAGAACGACAAGATCGGCCAACTTGTGGTTGAAGTAGACTCTCTGAAGAAGAAGGTCAGCTCCGGATCACAGGACCAGAGCGAACGAATCAGACAACTGGAGTTGGAGCTTGAGGAGGCCAGATCTTGAGCAGTTTACATAGGGGGGTGACGGATCTACGTGTGCGTGTAAAGTTGGGTGATGTTACGATGTGTCCCTGTGGGTGCTGGAAAGGTGGCAGGTCATGTATATGCAAAGCAACCGGGTAGTAGTTCTTAACGTGTAGAAAAAGAGTTGACATTACAAGCGTTCATCATCACAGAGCTCCTCATATCTTCCAGTTTGAAGTCCAGCTTGGCCATCGCGCCTGATCCTGCATGGCTGGTTGTCCATCCAGGTAAATTACGCGTTGCAGCTGAGTTGACAGTCACGCCACAGTCTTTTTCTTGTTCTGTTCGGATACCAACAGTCGCGCGGTAACGAGAAAGTTTCTTTTTCTTTTCCTTTTTCTTTGGGTAGTACTGAAAGGCAGACTAAGGCACTCGGTAGTCATATCACATAACTATACCCTTGTCAGTTTTCCCCTTTCCTCCCGTGTAGGAAAAAGCAAATGCCACTCGGCAATGCCATCTCAGGAAAAAAGAAACGTTATAGCCGACCAGCTTCTAGCGGATCCGTGAGGAAAGTGTTTCACCTGAGCCATGAGAGCGCCATGCTACCCTATAGAGTAACGCATCACCGAATCGACAGCACTTAAACGCCGTTGGCTTGGTTACATTCGTATTGGGTTATATTTGCATTAATTGAATTTAGCAACTACGGATCCTTAGGTTTACTGCTGCGTTAGGATGTGACCACCCGAAGTGTGATGGTGAGAATTATTTGCTTCTCAGCCGAAGACTGCGCCGTTAAATTAGCAAGACATCTCTGAAGCAGCACAGCCTTCCCGTATCCCCGTCAGGGAAGACAGTGCCCGGTTCTAAATTTTGACACATGTCAAATAAAAGGAACGAAAAAAGAAAAAAATGGACACCTCAACTGAGAAAAAAGCAACCGAACTCGGTCTGTAGGTAACCCCTCTCGGGGGCGACGGGGAAGGCATCTTCACTCACACCGTTACACCGTATCGACAGATACCGTTGCAGTCCAAGGGTGTCCTACCCTGCACCCCAGGATATGCTATACTTGGTTTCCTGAGAAACTCATGACATGTAACACTTGCTTCCTTCCACTTCCCGGTTTCATCCCCCCCAGCTCTGACCAAAACGACCATGCCGATAATAAGACGCAGTACGTTATATCAGGCTGACCTATCACCTTGCTCCGTGGTGACGGGCATGGGCGCGACATGTAGGCCCGAAGGATTTCTCCACCTCCAATTCGGTTTTCCTCCTCCCAAACGGTAGATCAACGGGTCGTCTTCCCCTTTCCTCGGAATGATGGGCCTGATGGCATGATCTCCCCACAAAGAGGACTCCTAGGCCATAGTCTGGGCCTTTATCTGATTGCCACATCTGTGGCGCTGCGACGGCCTTGGTTATGCTGAGGGCCAGGGATACCCATGCAAAGCGAGACCCAGGACAGCTAAGGGTTGTTGTTGGCCTTGACGACCATCCGGCTACAAGGAAAGAGAGAATGGGGGAAAATGAGAGACTGCAACGTCCAATTGACGAGAAAAACCCACCACAAGAACGGATTGCAACCAAGACAGGCCCTGGGGGCTTGCTTACCTGAGAGCAGAATCCACAAGGGTACCAAAACCCCTCCCCAGTTGAGCAGAAGGAGCAAATATGGTTCATGAGATATTAATTGGGAATTAGACCAAATAATGATACCGGACCAGTCCCGTAACATTTTGATATTGCCACTTCCACGAGCCTGACATAGGCTACGCACCTGGCTGTTTGGGATGCTAGCCATCTCCAGAGTGGCAACTCAGAGCGGAAGTCTTCCGTAAGAAGAGACAGAAATTTAGAGGTTAAAGACTAAAGAGGACGCAGACGCCCCAGCCGTCACGGCT